GGGGCACAACTCCCTCAGTCCTACTTGCAACATTGTATGTTCCACGAATGTTGTATTTCTTGTAAACGTCTTCTCGCTTTTCTGACCACCAAGTCTCCGCTTGGCTCACCGTGAACCTTCTCTTGCTGCAGAAATGACAGGAAAAATACAAAAAATTAATAATACACCTTCAATCCTAGGCGCTCACATTAATGAAATTGCAACTGACATAACAAGTGAGAAATAACAATGCCAAGTACCTGAAGCGTGCTCGCTTGATGTCTCTACTTCCATCTTGAAGAGCTACAAGTGTTACATACACCCCAGGTTCATATTGTTCAGTCCAGGCATCCTCAGTTTGATTTGCATCACCTGTGTGGGAACTTACTGAATCTCCAGATTTTGAGCCATTAGTGCCTTGGAGCACAATTCCCTCGCTCCTCATTGCAGCCCTATTTGAGGCTGAAAACCCATATATTCCACGAATATTGTATTTCTTGTAAACCATTTCTCGGTTTTCTGACCACCAAGTCTCTGCTTGGTTCTCCGTGAATCTCCTCTTGCTGCATATGCAGTGACGAGGAAAGATACAAAAATTATTAATACACATTCAATCTCAGGTAGTTTAACATTAATGAAATTACAAATTACACAACAATTGTGCATAGAACTAGTTTAAGTTATCACTCAATCAACAGAACAAAAGGATATTGAAGAACAATTTCCAAAGACCCTCTCAAAGAAATTTTCCATTAAAATTATCTGATATATTGTTCAAAAGTCTTATAGAACTAATCATTCAATATTATTTTAAACTGAATTTTTTACTAGCAGTATATAGCAATATCCAATATCACAGTGAAAAAAAACAATGGGAAATACCTGAATCGTGCTCGTTTGATATCTCTACTTCCATCTTGAAAGACTACAACTGTTAAATACACACCTTTTTCGTATTGTTCAATCCATTCAAGCTCATTTTGGCTAGCATCACTAGAAATCAATGAATTTTGAGATTTTGAGCCATTTCCATTAACTCCTTTACTGCGCAGGTCATTTTCAATGCCTTTGACAGGATCGTTAAGCAATTGAGAGGAGCTGTAATCAGATCTTGAACTCCTTCCTTCATTTTCAATATTTGTTTCTTCTCTTGGCAAACTCAATGATAGTTCGTCAAAATCGAAGGATATGGAACTCGCTGAGCTGGTGCTTCTTGAATCGGCATGAGCCATTTCCCAATACTGCTCTCGTCGCAGCACAGCTTGCACCAGCCTCCCCCAATTGTCATACACAACAGGCATCTCTGTTTCAGCTTCAAGACCTTCAACTGCACGCTATTCTATTATGATATTGATCGCCTCAGTAAACTCTGAACGTATGCAAGTACGGATATCATAATTGATGAATAACAGAAACCAGCTCAAAAGACAAATCCCATTTTCACATTCCGAACACGGAGCAAGAATCATTACATAACCGTGAATCTATGTAATTCCAGAACACAATGTACAAGTCAACAATTTCTTAGAAACTATCCCCACAGTTGCTTGATTCAAAGATGCGAAGGAATAAGCACATAAAATTGTATTAATGTTCAAGGTTTCTCCAAAAATTGGTAAAC